CTGACCCACTCTTCCTCTACCCAGGGCAAGCCTTCCTCCCTCTGGCTCTCTTCATGTGTCCCTAGGGCCTGGGATTCTAGAGGGCTGCCCCTGACAAACACAGAAGCAAAGGCAGCATTCAGCAGCTCTGCTTTCTCCGTGGTTTTCGTGACCAGGGTACCCACCCCATTCACTAATGGCCCCACGTTCTCCCTGACCTTCCTTTTGTTGTTGATATATTTGAAGAAGTTTTTCTTGTTACTCTTAACATCCGTGCCAGATTTAATTCCAGTTGTGCCTTAGCTTTCCTTGTTGCATCCCTGCATTCCCTGACAACGTTCCTGTATTTATCCCAAGTGGCCTGTCCTTTCTTCCACATTCTATATATTGCTTTYTTCTGCTGGAGTTTTGCCAGGAGCTCTCTGCTCATCCACACAGGTTTCCTTCTTTGTTTCCTGTTTGGGACCTGGAAATGGAGAAAGCAAGGAAGGTGGGGGAAAGGAGTAGAAGCTTAAGCTAGAAAAATCACTTTCTCCAAAGYAAACATATTAAAACATTCTTTTTAAAAAGAAAAACAAAGACTGGTTTTACTTCACAGGAAGCACCAGAAGTCAGATACTAAAAGTAAAGTGCCCTACCTATCCATCTATTAACTAATTAACTTTGTTCAGATGAGGTACTACTTTGCCATTGGGCTGCTTTTGTGGCACCTTGTGGTGCCGGGGATAACCCGGGCAGTGAAAAACTGGGGAGGGATCACAGAATCTTCAAGGTTGGAAGGAACCTCTAGAGATCATCTAGTCCAACCTTCCTGCTCCAGCAGGGACACCTAGAGCRTGTGACACAGGATGGCATCCAGGCAGATTCTGAAGACCTCCAGAGAAAGAGACTCCACAACCTCCCTGAGCAGTTTGTTCCAGTGTTCTCTTACCCTCACAGTAAAGAAGTTCCTCCTCACATGGAGACGGAACTTCCTGTGTTTCAACTTATACCCATTGCCCCTTGTCCTGTCACCGGCCACCAATGAGAAGAGCTTGGCCCCCTCCTCCCTACATTCTCCCTTCATGTACTTATTCATGTTAATCAAATCCCCTCTCAGCCTTCTCTAAGATGAAGAAGCCCAACTCACTCATACGAGAGATGTTCCAGTCCCTTAATCATCTTTGTAGCTCTCCAYTGGACCCTCTCCAGGAGCTCCACGTCCCTCTCACACTGGGGAGCCCAGAACTGCACGCACTATTCCAGATGTGGCCTCATCAGAGCTGAGTGGAGGGGCAGGATCCCCTTCCTTGACCTGCTGGCAACACTCCTCCTGATGCAGCCAGGATCCCATTGGCCTTCTTGGCCAYGAGGGCACACTGCTGCCTCATGGTTAACTTGGTGTCAATGTCCCTGTCAACATCCCAGTCAATGATGTCCCTGTCTTCACTGCACCAGCCACATCTCATCATTCCTTTCCACTGCTCGACCCTTTTCTCACATTCTTGGATTTAACTGTGATAACTGCACATGGAATCAAACCCTCTGCATTCTTGGCCCAAAATGACCAAAAAATACCCAGTCACAGAAACACAACTCATTTCATTCTCTTCTTCACAGTGTACTTCACTGTCCAGCTTCAGCTGCTGGATAACAAGGCTCCAGTTATCCACCTAAACTGATCTAAATGAGAAATATCAATGTTGGAACCACTCTGGCATAAAGAATGAAAACTGAGCTCAGTATCACCACAATTGGTGGTCTCCCCTCCCGACTGCCTAAAGCAAAGACTCAACCGCAGAATTTCTCTATGCCAGACAAAAGGTTCTAACCAGAGCCCTCCTTGTTTAAACAAATGTCAGCCAGAAGGAGAGACCAAGCTTCAGACCTAAAACCACAGGCTGAGCAACCAGTGAGCTCTATTAGCACAGACATGCCTTAGAAAAGTTGAGCTCTGGCTTCACACAGTACAAATGCATGTCCTAATTGTACCTCTTACTGCATGTTAAGCCTCTCATTATTGGTCTTAATAAGTCATTTTCTCCACCTGGTGCTCCCTGCATACTGCAGATGACAAGTCTTACTGGTGGTATCATAAAGATAAAAGATATCTCATTTAGGTAAATGCATATATAATATTTGGAAAGGAATTCATCCCTCCCTCCCCCCCAAAAATATCTGAAAACAGTTGACAAACATGGATGTTACTGACATCAAATTGCACTGTGCAAATACTACAATATACTCTGGCTATTCCCACCAGAGCGCTTATTTACAAACTGTTTTAACTGGGCGAAATCAGTGGCATTTGCTGCTGATGTGATTTTGCACAAACAAAACATGCGCCCTGAGCACTTAACTGCAAACAGCACGAGGACTTCGCGGTTGGACTGGCAGACAATGYTTCCACGGGCCCCAGCTCACTTAAAAGAATCACACAGCTGTATGTTTGCAAAGCATATTCTGGCCTTCAGGGTATCACGTGAGGGTACCCCAGCAAGTTTTGCATTGTACACATGGAGTCACACCTGCCAGGGACAGTGCAGCACATAGACTTTGGAGACATATCTCCATTAGAAGTTGTTGTGGGTTATGTTCTTATTAATCAAAGTTGAATTCTAGATAAATCAGAGAGATATAAGTCAAGAGACTTCATATCTAGTTCCACATCTGTCAGTGGAACTTTTTTTCTCCTCTGCAGAATATTTTTCTGGTGCAATCTGGCTTAGGTACAGATACAGGAGTAGGACTCCTCTCCCTAGAGCACCTCTGCACAAGATTAAAGAACTTTCATTTAAAATGAAATATCTACATGGCAAAAAAAAAAAAAGCCTTGCTTCTATGCAAAGCTGTACAGTCAGGCAATTAACAACTAAGTATTTCAAGGAAACATTACAGTGATAAAAAAAACTGATATTTCTGCAATATATTAAAATTGCCTACAAGTTCTAAAGGGAAAGTCTTCATATCATTTTTAACCAGGGAGGAAAACATCACATTAAAGTTATTTTTTCTTCCTACTTTAAACAGCAAATATACAAAAGTCCTCATTAAAAAAGGGAAATTTATGGACCAGTATTAAGTAGAGAGCACACTATCTTTTATTTCTGAACAAAGTAGCAGTCCCTCTTCACAGATAAGCAAAGTGGATTAAACTAGTTAATGACAGCCTGGAGCTAGAGGGACTTTAATGAACAGTATCACACTGGAACCTGAGCACCTGTTCTCAACAGGAAAGTGTTTCATCTCCAAGAGACAAAACCTAGCATGGATGCAACCTTTTGAGGTCATCTAGCACCTTCCCAGTCATCTGACTAGAAAGATTAAAACTGCTTTGATGTTCTCCTTGTACTGACCTGGCTCTTTCCCAGAATGACATATTTTATTTTGTAGGGTGCTTTTATTTCAACTTTACAGCCTAGTTTTGATTCTTAAAGAGATCCTTACAGAACCACATCATGCTAATATAAAATATTACTACAGGAGACACTAGAACAGTCTCTACTCTTCCTTTGCCCTGTGTGACCGYGGACAGATGATCTTTCCTTTCTTATGCCTTTCCTCCCTCCCAACTGCAATCACACCATACAGGTCTGAGGGATTTTTCAATGCTGCACTAAGTTTAAGTGGAAATTGGGTTTTCTGTCTGTAGAACAGTATCAATAAAGGTTCTTGTTTACATTCCCAACTGCATGAATCTTGGATCCAATTATCTGCTGATCAAGAAGGTCTCTCCTCTGGGAAAAGGCTTAAGCTGAACTCAAAAAAAGTAAAGGCACATTTAATTGTTTAGGGGTGGGAGGGGGAAAGGAAGAATCTGCTCAAACACAAGGCCTCTTGATGTTCTGTGTGTTTTTGATTAAGGAGTTAGACAGCAAGGCAAAAACAGTCACGTGCTTCACACTGTTCCAGGTAAAGCAGGATGCTACAAGGACAGTATGACCTTGGCATTAACAGAGCAGTGGCCAGCACCTAACAAAAAGAAGGATAATTATCATACAGCGCTTGGCTATCAAGCTATTCTACTGTGCTGGCACTGCAATTTCCCCTAATGGCCACAGGAACATTTGTTCCTGAAGGTATTTGAAATGAACTGGCAGGTAAAGCATCAAACTGGAGCCAAGAGGTGTAATGGGTTTTGAACTCACCTGCTGTGACCTTCAGACATTTGCTTTATCTTTTATTCTGTCTTTTACCCATACTTGATATTCATTCTTCAGAGTCCACTCTCACTCAATGCAGTGAGTCCTGTCAGCACTTGCAGAAACAAGGGAGCAGGCAGAATAAGACTGACTAAAGAGACTTCAGAGTTAAATATTTGTTTTTACTTTCAAATGTCATAGTGCCAGACTTGTAACTCAAGCCAGCAGTAGAATGTATAGAGGATTTTCCAATACACACAAATTTAAGCACCTGAAGATTACCAGCCAGTACTGCACAGCCAAAGCATTCTTACTAGATTTAATCCTATGTGAAAGTTAACAACACACCCACAGATACATTTTGGTCTACATGAACACAGTTACACAGAGCTACCAAATATGGACTCAGGCTCTCCATTCAAACCTAGAAAACCTCCAACTCCTCTTTCCACTTCTCCAAGGAARACTGCTCACTGAATTTTATTCAGAAAAAGAGAGTGCTAACAGGCCACCTCGGATATACCTCACAACTTAGCACATATTTGAGACATGATTGTTCTGTTTGACTAAGTTCTGAAGCTACATCAAGAYGCAAACTAACAGAACTCCACAAGAYATTGATGACCTGCAACTCATTGAAATAAATTAACATCTTTACAAGAACAGGTAAGGTATGGCTAAGGGCTGTACATTCCACCTGAGCTTCAGGTGTTACTGCCAGCATTTCCAGGATGCTTATCCATTCTTCCAGGACTAGCCATTGATGCGGTAATTCACGTGGATTTCAGGTTTGATTTCACACACGAGGGACAGCAGCTGGGACAACACTGCCTCACGGTTCTTCTGGAAGTTCTGCTGGATTACACTCATCTTCCCCTGGGTCTCTTTCTCAACTTCAGTGGTGCAGCTGCCATGAGATCCAAGGGCCTACACAACAGGGGAAAAAAAACAACCACAATTTCAAGCAGTTTGATAATGAAAATACTATGACCAATTCCATACTCTGTCATTCTGCAGAGCCTTTCACATTCATCAGCTATCAGTTTAGAACATGAACTTCTATAAGCAGAGCAAGAACGTCTAAAATTGTAGTCCTATCATCCTTGGAACTAGAGAAATAGAAACCTCTAGACATTATAGCAATAAATAACTTAAGGCTATGCTTAGACTAACATTGTTTCTGTTCTTTGAGATTCCTTATGAAAATTCCTTATTAAAAAGAGCTCTGGGAAACATAAGCACAACAAAGACTCCTTCTCACCTACTCCAAAAACAAGGAAAGAAAAACCTTCCACCTTACGTGGTTAAGAACAGAGGCACAGAACATAGGCTAGAAGAGAAACCAGCATCCTGCRTGCCTTCCATGAAGAATTTCTCTCTCCAGAAAAGGGTAGATAAAATAGAACCAACTGACAAATTGATGAATTCCCCCATTAGCCTAGAATTGCCTGAACCAAGGTAGAAACTGGTGCAGTTCTCAGATGGTAAAGGGTTTCAGTTCTGCATCTTTTGCAAACACCTTCTCTTGCTCAGAGAAGAGACACACATCTCCCTGAGACACAACAAGCTAGACAGCTGCTCAGCTCAGCAAACCACTTCAGCAAGACAGCATCTGCTGTGAGGAAAGGGGTTGCTACAAAGTTTGCATGGTAAAAAAACAAGCTTGTGACAGGAGGAATGAACTCGGTCTTAATGGGCACTGCTCCAGACAGAAGGTTTGTCAGGCTGAGAGCTGCCCTGGGCATCAGTGAGTACATGTGCCTCTGAGATTAATTCTTCGCCAGTTAACACTTCTGGCTTCCGATATGCAACACGCCACRTTCTGATTTTTTTTCCACTGATCCACCTGAGACATGGCCACTTGAGGAAGGCAGTTAAGGAAAGTAACACCAAATGCAAGGCTAAGAGTCTGGATAGAGAACAATGAATTAGCAAGAACACAAACCGCTGCTTCCTTGGCTTTGAACTCTTTCTCCCTCTGCAGACGGTACTGTTCAATCTCTGCCTGGGCTTCTTCTTTTGCCTGCTTCAGCCTCCGATTCTTTCCTGTTTCAAAAAGATGCACCATATTAAATGAAGAGAAGGCATCGAGCACATGTTTCCCCGTACCACTGCAGCTGCACGATGCAAAAAAGCCCCTGTRGAACCCACAGCAGCTCCACCATCAAATCAACCTCTCCAGGCACCGAGCTTCCACCAATGAGACCCACACAGTTCTCYAGCCCAGCAGATGCAGTTCAACAACTTGCAGGTCTGGTGTCACTCATGGAAGTGTGATGCATCCCACAGCACAAGAAACACACAATCCTAGTTTTGCRCTAAAAGACCTGCCCAGTGTGTGAACTTCCCCTTGCCCCTAGCATTTCGGGTTTTTTTGAGGGTTATTATTAGTGAACTACAACAAAGCTGTAAGAGGCTAGAAGTGCAAGGCAGAAGAACTTCACTAAATAACAGCACCTGAGGTTAGCTTTGGTTAGCACCAATTTGTTTAAGTGGATCTTGGAGAAAGACTTGGGCTCCATTTAACAGAAAAAGTTCCAAGCAGCAGCACTCTGCTCTATAAAATATCTGGATAGAGCCATCACTGAAGCCACCATTGCCAGGAGCCTCCCTTTGGCCTTGCTCTCACTAGCAAGACAGGCAGAGTTTTGTCTACAGAGCCAGCACTTGCTGTACAAAGTGCTCCCTCAATGCTCTCTGCCTGTTCCAGGGTCACCCTGGGAAGCAAAGGCTACTGAAATAACAAGCACAGGGTAACAGCACACACAAAAAGGGGGAGAGAGCCCCTCCACGCACCTCGAGCACGGAGAGTTTGGGTGCCTCTGCTCGCTTCCCAAGCACCGATTTAGTGACACAAGACACATTCCACCTCTGCAAGGCCAAGTAGGCTGGGAAGGCCCTGCAGAGCAGCAAGGCCTGGTCRCAGCCTCTCCAAGCCTCTGCTGAGGCTCGGGCCCGGATTAGCTTGCTGAACAGACAGCAGCAGGGGACAGCTCTGCCATCAGCAACATTGATTAAGGAAATGAAAAATGAGGTGACAAAAGCGACCTTGGAGCCTTTCTCTGTCAGCTAAGCAGGGGCACGGCTGCATCCCCTGGCTAAGACCGGCACCTCCACGCCCTTAGGGAGGCCCTCGGAGGCCCCTACGCTGTCCGGGCCCAGGCAGCGCCTCAAGCCGCCGGCCGGACCGGGCCGGGCCGGGCCGGGCCGGGCCGCACCGCCTCCCCCCGCAAAGGCGGCGCACGCCACGGGCCGTGAGGGTGCCCGCCAGCCCCTACTCACGCTTGCGGGCCTCGGCCACCTTCTCGGCGGCGCGTTTCTCGGCCTGCAGCAGCTGCTGGATGCCCTGCGACTGGCTCGCCATGGCGGCGCCTGCACCAACGGCCGCCCTGCCCTACCCCGCCCCGCCGCGTCACCGCCACGGGGCAGGGCCGGCGTCTGCCCCGCCCCCGCAGCCGCCCAACGGCCGTAACGGCTCTAACGGCTCCAACGGTTCTAGCKGGTCCCAACGACCTTCAACGGCCCTAATAGCTTCTAATGAGTCCCAGCTGCTCTCAATGGTCCCCAGCGGCTCCCAATAGCCCCCCTGTTCTAACGGTTACCAGCAGCCCGCAACAGCTCCCAAGGACCCTCATAGTTCCCAACAGCACTTAACGGCTCCCAGCAGCCTCCAATGACCCTAACAGCTCCAAAAAACCCCTAATGGCTCCCAGCTGTTGCCAGCAGCTCTCCGTAGCCCCAACAGCCTTAACGGTTCCCAACGGTCCTAGCCTCTCCCAGGGTCCTGATGTCTCTCTGAGTATTCCCCATGGGCACTGTTGTATCTAGAAGATCTTTGGTCTCGAGCAAAGCCCAGAGGCTGCAGAGAGCCCAGGCTGGCACTGTGTGAGGAGGGTGCTACCTGGGCTCACATGGATTTTTTTTTTTTTTTTTAATAAAATTGTTTGTTTGTGTAGTTGAATAAACCACGAGGTTTTGTTGGGTTTTGTGGGTTTTTTTCTTTTTTTTTTTCAACTGAGTGAAACACAAGAGGATGGGGAGGTCAACACAGTAAGACGCTCCCTGCTTTGGTTCACACTTAAGTGAGGACCAAGGTGAACCAAGGAGGTGAACCAAGTTCACCTCCTGAGCTCAGATCCACAGAGGCACACGGCAGTTTTGGACCTTCCAGGACATCTCCTGACGGTACCAGGGAAGAGGATGCCCTGTGCTCTGCACACTCCTGCTTCCCTTCAGCCCCTTTTCAGCCTACCCCTGGGCCGCTCGGAGTCCTGGATGCCAGTTTCTCTCAATGATTTCAGGGTGTAAATCATCATTTTTGCCACCGTAGCCATGTCAGAGCTGTGACAGTGACTCATATCACTGCAGGGAAGAATTAGTGTCTGCTGCTACGCCTCTTCTGTCCCCAGTGATGGAGGGGACACGAGACAATGAATCAAGGGTGTATTTTAGAGAGCTAAACAGGAATTATGAGTATTTGGCAGGGTGACCTTCATCTGGTCCCAGACATTAACTAAATGGGCACAGTGGACGTGCCAGTCCAGCATGATGTTCACTTCAATAAAAGAAAGCTACAAAGATGGGGTGAGGAGCTCAGGTCAAAAATCTGTGTTTCGAACCAAGCCTGGAAACTGGCAACCTGGGTAAACGCAGGAAGCCTGTGCAAAACCTCTGAAATCATGAGACATTCTGCTGACTCCAGCAACCTTCCAATGAGAGAATGTTGCTGATGCCTTCTAGATGTTGTCTGAAGATGTTCATGTGATGCTAATTAAATCCATGGAGTTGAACCCACAATTTATCACCACGTTTTGAAGGCAAAGCAACTCGTTTAAATTAGTTTACAGCAAACTGTTTGAATCAGACATGTCTCGCTCCTAAAATCATGATGGTCAGTGAGTGGGGCACTGTTTGCCTCCTGGGTGATTGGGATTTTCAGACTCACTGTTTCTGTCTAGAAATGACTACATCCTTTTCTGCCACSATGAATATCCTGCTTATAATTGCAAAAAAATTCTGACAAGTTTTTTGAAAGCATAGCAGGGGTTAACAAAAAAAAAAAAAGATGAGATTATGGCAGATCATTTTGTTACTAAGCAAATGGGRAAAAAAACAGTTTGTATTGAAAACAAAATTTCATTTAATTGCATTTCCTTTTACTTTTACTTTTTACCTTTTTAAATTTCTTTTTACATTACATTTTAACTTGAATGCTAATGCTTCACCTCATGGTGCGACTCTAAAAGATATTTCATCAACTTTTCAATTCACCTAAACTTTTGGAAAAAAAACTTGTTGATTGGGAAAAATGTGTTTCCAATTCTTAGAACTACATTTGCATATTTGCATAAATAAGGGTTTTCTGCACAGTTTTAATTGTATTTACAATGGCTTTGAAATTAATTAGCGCCCTAAATATTTCTAACTTGGCTATTACTATCCCAGATTCATTGTACACATATTTGTCACTGTATATTACTGTATATTTGGCTGTCCCGAAACTGATCCTAGCACCCATTACTCGTCCAGTGCAGATTCCTTAACACCATAAACTTGACTCCTTCAGTAGTGTCATGTACTCCACATTCAATAGAAGATTGAAGGAAAAATGTCTTTATAAGATTAAGGCTTGTTCTGCTCTCATCCATGGGGAAATAAATTGCTGAAATTTTTCTGACACAAAATTACTTCCTCTCTTCTGCTGCTCTGCCTCAGCTAGACTGGCTGATAAATCAAAGAGCACAAATTGTGCCCACTGTCAGCCCGCACCAATCTACAGCTTTCCCTGCTGCCCTCCAGTCTCTTTGAGTACATAAACCCTCCTATAAGGTATTTAGTAACATGAGAAGTTCAGTATTTCACAAATATTATGTCCGTATCTGAAGTCTGCCAGCATCTGAAGCTTCATGATGACTTAGAAGAAATGGAAGAGATGAAGATAACGGGCGAAGCTGGTGACTCACAGTTCAGCCAGGCTTTGGGTTTTTTTTAGAAAAGAATGACCGTTCTGCAGAATGGGAAGAAAACAAAAGCACTTTATTTTTCTTTCATTTTTTTTCTACAGATGACTTTCACAAGAGAAAAATTAGGCACATTTTCTATTTTTAAAATTCATTGTCTTTCATTCTCCAAAACAAAAAGAAAAAAAAAAAAAACAACCTGTTCTTTTCTTGATAATATTGAAGACTGACTTTTTTTTTAGAATGGTATCTTTCTTCTTTTGTTCTGCACTGGATCGTAACTCCGAGCATGTTTAAAACTGGTTTCTGCATYAAGCAATAAGTCACAAGATGTTTCTAGAATCAGGAAAAAATAATACAGATTACCTTGTCTCTTTTTGTTTTTCCTTTAGTTTCTAAGCACATACACGCAAATAAACATGTATTTTTAATCTTGTAGTCATTAAAGATTCCAAGACACTTTTCATAAGAAATGAGATTTTAAACATTGTATCTGGCATTTTTCCAGACCAGGTAATTACATTCTTCCTCTCTAAATTCCCCTGTACTTTCAATTGGATGCATTATTATTCTCCAATCCCTGACTTAAACTGTTGTATTTTGCAATTCTCTACTCTTTTAAAAAGCCTCAGTGTTGAAGCCTGAGGTACCTGCGGTGATTGTCTTTTAATAGGAAGCAAAATGATTTCTCTCTTCTGAGACTTAATTCATTAACAGAAATCACTTTGAGGCTTTGTAATGATGTGACTGTTGTGTATTGCTAATTGTTTGTTGGTGCATAGTTATTAATTATTCATTGCTAGTTTTTGTTTAAAACAGAATTCTTTTGAAGGAGGCCAGGATATTTTAAATTTATGAACTGAGTGTTAGAAATCTAAGGCAGTAGAATTTACATTGGAAAAAAAAATCAACCAAATTTTCAGCTGCACAAGCCAGTCCTGCTTGACTGTATGACAAAGACTTTGGCCCAAATATCATCCCAAATAATCAAGGGCAATTTAAATTCTCAAAAATAAGATTGCCGCTGACGGAATTACAGCAGAAGGAGGGAGCTATGTTTACAGTGTAAGAACTGATTTTGTTAACAGAATTTTCAAGAAATCGTATTTCTGGTGCCATCTTGTCCTAGCACTCATTGAGATGAGCCCGTGGCCTTGTGCTGCCATGAGGGAAGCGGTGGGGGAAGCTTTTCTCAGGGTTCACACACTGACCATGGGGCAGCGAGCAGCTCCCGAACGTCTCCCCCTGAGCACAGGACTCCCTTCCTTACCCCCGCCCTTGCTGCAGAGCTGCTTGTGTCCCAGTCCCCACCCTGGCTGACAGCAAGAGCTTTCCATAAAAATAAGAAAAGCAACTCTATTTGTATGTATATATTTTTTTCTATTATGGCAAAACATTTCCAAGGAGAATGTTAATCGCTTCTGTACCGAAACCAATCTCTAGTAATTCCTCTATTGGTGTCCAATCTTAATCAGAGGTTGAGCTAAAAAGCAAAGGGGATCTACTGTTCTCTGCAAGGATGTGACTGGAAATGTTGATTTGTTCCTTGAGAAATGCCTGAATGCTCCCTGTGGAACGGCTGCCTCTGCGGTACCAGCTGCTGGAGCATCTGCCTAGTGTGAAGCCTTTGGCCTCCTGGCATGAGGGAGCATCAGGGAGTCAACAGCACTTTACATGCAGATAAAGTCTGTTTGCTCCAGGAGTTTAGAAATGATGGCAGCAAGACAAAGTAGATCCTTTCATACCCTGAAAAGTGGTTGTTCTTCCTGTAACAAGTAGCATCAGATCTTTGGCTGCTGGAGGCTCCTATCGGTTCTCTGGTTTCTGCTGGAACAGGAGCACTGTTCCACAGTGGGATCAGCAGTTCAGTAACATTTTCCCTGCTGTRAAACTTCTCCCCTGGCTCTTCGGTCCGTCTTTCTCCGTAGCTTTCTCCGAGTAGCCTTGTTGTGCACCAGCATTCAGGCACTGCTTTCAGGTGGCTGAGTTTTGATGATGGATGAAGTAATTCCTGCATATGTAGGTTGTTTGGTGCTTTGAGAGATGTTTGGAAACATGACAGACTGCAGTGTAAATCTCATTTATTATCAATATTGCTTGGAAATATATAAAAAAAAATGTCTGAGGCCTCAATTTAATTTGGATGTTTATTACAGGCTCTGGAGAACAGGGAAATATACTGTGACAATAACACAATACAGTGCGGTACAGTGATGCCAAGGAGCTTAAAAACATGGTAAAGAGTTGCTAGATATTTCTAGGCCACGAGGGAAGATGTGAGTGCTGGAGGGATCCCTCTCGAACAAACTAGTTCATGCAAACAATGTTGAGCCTGGAAATCATCCAAACAATTTTGTTTGGGTTTCTAGCAAGTATCCTATTTGCCTCTGGGCTCTGCTGAGACACATACCGGGAGCGGCTGC